TTTCTATCAAAGTTTTCAACATGTTGTTGAACCATAGAGTTGGATTTATTGGTTTGTCAATTGGATACATTTTTTTAGTATATTTTAACCTAAACCAGTTTATTGCAAAAAGAAAAAAAAACCATTGACTTGGTTAAGAACCAAATGAGGTCCTTACCAGTAGAACCAGTAACCTATTTAACCAAGAAAATGGGCAATGGTTAATACATTAATTTGTTATTTTTTTTTGTATTTTAGCTATTTCTATTTTTACCAACAATAATTCTCATTTTTTCAAATATATTTTTATTTAATATGAAGAATATATAATATTAGTACATGTTCAAATGTTTCCATAAAATTTATAAAAAATTTTATATTTTTATTTTTTATTATTTAATTTATGATATAATAAAAATTACTTATTTGACAAGAGGAAATGCAATTACAATATATTGTTTGATATTGGATTTTAATATTTGGGTCAAATCAATTTATTAGATTGATTAGCTGACTACCCAATTCAAGATTGTAGGTTTATTTACCACTAAACCACTTGCCTACGGTGGCCTAGCTAATTAAATCATGGAACCATTTGACATAGTTAGCGGAGTCATGTGTTAGACATTAATGATTTATTTTTTCCTAATTTTTATCTCATTTCCATCATTAATGAAAATAATTCTCATTTATCACACTTTTTATATGATGAATATATAATATCATAGAATGTTCTCAAATTTATCTATATTTTCTATAATTCTGTGTATTTTATTATTTAATTATAGCATCATGTGTTGATCCATATGTTATGGACAATTGAACCACTAATCCACCACTTAGATGGAAAAAACCAGTTTGCTTTTTTGGTTGATTTTAAATCTTGTATTACATTTTCATCATTAATAAAAATAATTCTTATTTTCATATTTATTTTTGTTTAATATTTTGAATATATAACATTAGAATTGTATCAAAAAGCTTTATACAAAGCTAATATTTTTATTTGAGTTTCTATATTTTTTTTAATATTTATTTCTTAGTTATGACATCATAGATTGACCCATTTGACCTAGAAGATTAGATTCTTAACCTACCATCTAGATATGAAATTGGTTTCATTTTCAGACAGGTTTTAAATTTTGCATTTAATTTATATCACTAATAAAAGAATTATTATTGATCATACTTATTTTTTATTTATATGATTAATATATAATTTTATAGATGTGCTCAAAATATTTTCATATTTTTTGTATTATTCTATTTTAAAAATTTTATTTTTAATTATACATCATGAGTTAACCCATTTGATCTGAAAGGTTGAACCACTAATCTACCCCCTAGAGAGGAAAATTGTTTCATTTCCCATTGGTTTTAAGTTATATATTTTGTGCCCATCATTAATAAAATTATGTCTATTTTAGCATACTTATTTTTTTAATATGACAAATATTTAATAAAAGAAATGTGTCCAATTTTTTCAATTTTTTTTATTTTTTATATTTTTATATTTCTGAATTTTTATTATTTATTTATGACATCATGGAATTATCCATTTGACTCAAATGGTTGAACTAACTTACTCACCACCTAGATGAAAAAATATGATTTCATTTCTATGTTAATTTTAAAAATATAAAATTTCACTATATTAATAACTATTGTGTATTGATTTATTAGTGGAATTTAATGATGAGAAACAAAAGCATAAATGTTGGATTGAATGAGAGAGAGAAGAGAATGTGATTTATTTAATGACTTAAATGTGAGACTTGATGAGAGGTAAAAATTGAATGCACTAAATAGTATTATTTTAGTTGCATTTTCAACTTAATATTTTGAATATATAACATTAGAACTGTATCAAAATGCTTTATACAAAGCTTGTTTTTTTCTTTGAGATTCTAAATATTTTTTAATATTTATTACTTAGTTATGACATCATAGATTGACCCATTTTCCCTAGAAGATTAGATTCTTAACCTATCGTCTAGATATGAAATTGGTTTCATTTTCAGATAGGTTTTAAAATTTGCATTTAATTTATATCACTAATAAAATAATTACTATTCATCATACTTATTTTTTGTTTATATGATTAAGATATAATATTATAGATGTAGGGGTGAGCATTCAGTTTATTCGATTAAAAACCGAAGCGAATAAATTGAA